AACCACACCACCAATTGCGGGTTAGCTGTTCTGAAAAGCCACTCAGCCTTCACGGTTTCGGGGACTATTAAAACGTTTTCATATAGCCAATTATTTTGTAACCGCAACAGATCCGTTCATTCGTCTCGTCATTAGGTTCCTACAGGAAAATCATATAAAATAAACAGTGAGACATGAATACGTGCTGTTCTAGATTAGTTATTCCTCGAGGAATTTGTTTCTTTAGAAATTTTTAGCGAAAGTTCATGAAGGGTTGGACCAAGATCTTACCAATATTATTAAACTCTACAAGCCTGGATTCTGTACTTCAAAAACTTTCTATTTATTTTAAATACGTGAACAGTTCCTAGATGTAAAACAGAACAAGCCCACAGAAGAGATGGAAATATCCTACGACTAAGCTGATAAGCTCCATTTCTAATTATTTTAGAGAAATCTAGTCTAGTTCAGGTAATGAAACAGTTGACGACTTAATTATTCTATTCAAGGAGAAAAATAACGTGAATGTAAAAAAAAATGAAACAATGGCACTGGGTATCATCAGGTCCCCCCCCACCTTCTCTTACTCTCTCAAGAAACACATTACAGTACAAACTAGAATGGCGTGCGGTCATGCTTCCTTCTTTTTTTGCACAGGTGATTTATTTTGTTTTCTACTAACAAAGCAGCACTAGATGCCATCCACTGATAAGAGATCTAATTAACGGCTCCCACGGGTCAAGAGAGGAGTTCCTCATAAAATTAAATCAACCGCGCTGGTTCTCTCTACCACAGCAACACAGATTCAAGATTCAGAATTTTGCCTCTTTCGTAGTAGGCGAGACTTCAGGTTCTCAAGTTGGCGATTATGAAGATGACATCTTCTGGGACGTTTCAGAGGTGCTTGTTGCCTCATCAGGGTAATGGTCACCAGATTACACGGCACAGCGGTAGGTATATGCGTATCTGGTAGAAATGTAGTGAGGTGATTACGTTAGAGTGCAGCTGATGTGGACGGGAAGGTAAGTAGCTTATGTGAATAGATGGGCCGGGTGAAGGAACAGCCTATGTGACTGTGTCAACAGTGGACCTTTGCAGACAGGTAGTTTAGCTGAGTGAGTAGTTCGGTTTATAGATAAATTTATAGTAAATAAGTAGGTAGATAGACTGGCAAGTAAAGAGTTGACTGGGCACTTGGATATGTGGATGATTAGGGAGTCGATTCGTGGAGCAGCCTACGTTTTGTAAGAACAAAGAACCAACTGCTTAGAGATGTTCGTTGCCGCTACTCCCTAAAGCCTCTGAAGCGATGGTATGTAAATGTATTTAAATCTATTATTTGCATCTGAAGATTAGAGTACAATATCCACTACATCAACAAGCTGATTTCAAAATAGAAGCTCTGTTTAGGTTGTACCATTATTATATTATGCCATTAAGTATCCTTAATCCTGATCAATGTTTTCCACATCAAGGTCCTTAAGCTCCACATAGGCGTTGTTTAACTGTGATTTAAACTTCGTGATTATAAATTGGTTACCTCCTTATAAATAGTTATGACTGTGTTTGAAATCTTCTTTAATTTAAAAGGCAATTCTAGATTGAAGCAGAAAAAATTAATTAACTTAGCCCCATTTTTAATTGATTTAAGCAGTTACTCCACGTGAGCTTCAGAGGTTATTTACTGTCAATGATGAACTGTGTAATGATTAAGAATGGTGAACATAACACCGTATTTAAACGGTGTCAAAGAATGGACTGTCATAGTATATGAGTCAGTACTTAGTAATTTCCCTGACACACAAAATAAAATAATATTTCTCACAGAGCAAGCCTTTCATCAACAGATCACAAATATTTTTATTCATGTCACTATAGACGCACAAATTTGTCTGTCAAACAACATTCTGTGAGTGCAAAAATGTGTCTGCGGTTTTTATAACACTCCAGAGCTTTAGAAAACTGTCTGTACTGATATTGATTCAACCAACGACCATCTGTCCGTAAGCAAACGGAATTTTATATACAAAAAAAATTCAGGACAGTAACACTCAGAATAAATGGCATGTTAAAATGGAGCACACTGTACTTCTGTTGTCTTTATCAGGTACAAATAAAACATCCACTTTTTCCCTGCTGTGTTTTCAATTGTTATGGAGCGTTAAACAAAACACTGGTCTCCCTCTACACAGCTGGATAGCAGTTGAGAGACAACTCAACCAATTTCGCGTGATCACTGATATTTTAGTTCCGCCCTAACACAGATATATATATATAACTACATGTGTTTTATATATATGAAGTGTAACAAGCAGAGGGGCTAATTACAAGATTTCAGATGAAGATAATGTCTTATTCACGACTATAAATTCGTTTGCGCCGTCGTCGTCTTCCACAATTTCATGTCAGTCAGACGTCTGGTCAGACACGCCGAGATATTTCCGGACACCAACTCTCACGCCTCATTCGTCTATGACGTAGCAAGACACGAAATTTTCCATGAACAACGATAGATAACAATAGTCTGTACTAAAATTGTAATTAAAGTCCTACTTACTACTCTTACTTAGCCTATGATCATTTATCGTTGCCCTCGATTCGCATTTCACTCAGAAAGACGATATAAAAGGTCATTCAGTGAGGGAAATGGCTTCAGTTCTACATGTCTCCCTTAGTGAATAGTCCGAAGTTCGATAATCATATAAAATTAATATTATCAATTTTTTTACTATCTTTGGTTCGAATTCTCTTCTGGAACAAGAGAAAAGACGTGTGCTAAGAGGCCTATAAGAGCATTCGCTTTTCTATAATATTGTGTAGGCCTATATAATATAGCTCCTTGCAATAAGGCCTATATGTAACTTAAACTGGAGCTATACATAATGAGCGCAAATGTAGGTAGGCTACCATTCCTACATCTGAAAACCGAGAAAGTGAACGTTAATTTTGTACGAAATATGAAACTACTTATAGGTCCACAACTGGAACTCAAGTTTTATTAAATACGTGATTAAAAACATGCAAAGCAAAACAAATAAGAAATAGCACCAATGCTTGGTTTGGAAGAGCAGTTTTTATAACGCAGCGGATAGTCTGACGAATTCGGGAAACATTCGTTTCGAATCTCTATCGAGAAATCTGTTCAGGAAGGAGTTCTACGTGCTTTTCCGCAGCCAAACGAGGTGAAATTTCTGAAAAATACCTTAAAAGAGACGAGCACCTGATCTTTACTTGTTCACTAATCATGATCATCTGATAACTACATGAAGTTTGTAAATAAAACGATATCATTTAGTATAAATCGAGCTATCAGTGTTTATGTTTATCAACTGTGAATTTAATTTGCTAGAATAAATTTGAAGCAACAACTGTAAACAATCCCCGTCCACAAAAATTCGTAAGAGGCAAAATAAAATTTGTTAATATGACTGTCTTCTGCGTTTTAGCGCCGTGTAGCTCGGTAGTCTACCAGACTACAGGGCACTACAGCACAGAAGACAACCGTCTTCGTACTCACCACCGTGAGAACTTCAAATCCTATACAAAAACATATAACTCTGCGCATCTGACACCTCCAGGGTCCATACGATTAGCGTGTGAATCAGAAGTAATAATTTACAGGTGTCTGGCACGTTATCTACCAAACTACGCCCATAGGCATGTCTGTAACAAGGCATGACAAAAAGACAGGGACTCTAAACAATGATCCCAAATAAAGGGAAATCGTTTTTGTCTTACATAAATTTTATGCTCTATTTCATTCCTGTCAAAACTTAATTAGACAAGGTTTGTCCTTCAATAGACCTATTAGTCTATTTAAATGTTTCCCTTAATTATCACACCTCTGCGTCCATATATCTACCTACACAACGGATATTTTCGATTATATTACCGATTACTGCAGCTGAAATTAATAAGGTCAGACTATAACGCTAACTGTACATATCTAGTGTCGAATTCTAGGAATGCTTGCAGCCCATCATCCCCATTAAAAATCTACTATTATATGTTAATTAATCTCATAGACCAATAAGCCTGTGCCTGAAACACTGAATATTAAAAATGTGAATCTGTTATTACATTTAATCATTAGTCCTAAAATGATAAAGAGGATCACTAGTTTCAACAAATATTTAACACGCTCATTCTACATATTTCTAAGACATCGTGTTAATGTATGCTTTTATGATAATTATGATTTTGACATCATGAAAATTGCAAGACCTGACGATATATACTGTAATATGGTATAATCTACAATATGGCTGAGTTCCGTTGTTTTAGTGTTTCTGTACATAAAAATATACTATATTCAAATAATAAAACAGCCTTATGTATAAATAGTTTTGTGTACAAAATTAAAAATAAAATGTAATTTAATTTAAAAACAAACAAATTAGTATGCAATTCACATCTCCGTCATCCAGGGCATGTGTCTCTCACAGCTCATTTTCCTTCGCATGATCTAAATAATAACAATAATACTTCTCATCCGTATGACGGAGGCAGTACGCATCTCTGAAACGTCGGTCAATTTCCACGAGAATACAAGGCGCAATATAACAGCAGGCTGTCATCTTCGTCTAAATAATACTGTACTTGGTGGAGTAAAACGAATGTCGCAATAGGCCTACTATCGATTATGTAAGTAATTGATCTAGTTTCTGTGCAGGATTATTCAAAAGAAAGTATGATGCCAAGTGGAAAGATGCCGTAGATTCGAAACTCAAAGATAGGGGCGATTTCAAATTAACGGTAAACATTTCCACGCACTGATAGGGAAAGTGTGTCAGGAGAAACAGCAACACTGCTCTAATTCTAAGCTGTTATTCGCCAAGTGTTGTTACGTGTCATTTGAGCAGGTAAAGTGCATGTGAACTAGATCGACTGTTCACTTTCAGTAGCCTATCTCATAAAAGAGTTTCGACTTCCATTTTGAAATCTATCTTCATCTGCTTTCTATATCTATACGCCATGGCTTAAACCCATACGGTAGCCATTTTATAGGGTCATCCTCCTACCTTTGGATGAGGTCCAGGGTATTTGATGACAAGAGTCCTGATGTCATTCCGCGTCTGTACAAGCTCCACCCTTTGAAAACCAGGAACCAACCAGATCGAGAGAGGATACTGAAAAGACAAACATTATAAGAAAAAAAGTGTCGTTGTCGTCCAAAGGGAGAGAACGGGTTGCGCATGGCAGTTGGGGACACACGGGTGACATCGGTGGGGGCTTCTGTCTGCGAGCGCATCCTCCAAGTCACCTGCGACACAGGGACTGTCATGCGCACGGCAGTTCTCATGCGCTCATACAAATTGATCCGTCCGCAATGCTCAAACGAATGGGCTTCAAACTTCAGTTAAATACAGGACTTATACGTGGGTTTGGTCATTCCATGCGTATACAGGTTTAGTGAGCATACAAAAGAACTTCTTTCGAATGCTCTCGGGGTTAAAGAGATTTCTCGGTGTGATCCAGACAGTAGACTGGAAAGTACATACCTTAGGAAAGGAGACTTAGGTAAAAGTGAGAATAATAAAGTAAAGATAGACTAAATATTAACACAGTACTCCACTGAGCAGAATTCTTCTTGAGAAGTTGACAGTCAGAAGGACAAGAAACTCCAAATGAATCCACTCAACACCCTCAAACCCTATTTCTTTATGTAATATTTCAGGTTCACACGAATCCGTGTCCATTTCTGGACATCGGTCAATCACAGCAAATGGACGTTCTAAAGGATAAGCCGAATGCGATGAAGTCACAGTCCTACGTACACTTCTAAGTTGTAATTAATTGTGAATCAAATAGATTATATGCAAATGTTATTGATTTCATGTAATGCTTCTGGTGCAAATTAATAACCCAACAATTTATTTTTGTCAGCTTCAGACAGGAGACAGTCTACACTTCGCATCAATGTTTAATTATGTTTTAAAACGAAGGTCAGAAATATGCAGGCCTGGTACTTATATACACACGTCTTACTGTATATAATATCTATGGCCTCATACACAAACACTAACTTGTTCTTCAACCTCGCGTGTGTATTCGGTAACCACGTAAAAACTTGTTGGGATTTGATGGTTGAGCATTTGGGTAGTGAATTATGCAGATTTCAAGTTTCCTTCTTCTTCTTCTTCTTCTTCTTCTTCTTCTTCTTCTTAAGCCCCATCAGGGATTCCCCTCGGCACTTTTTCTCATCAAAGAACCTAAACCAGACCACCTGAGGCTCCATGAGAGTTTATCTCTGTCCGTATCTTGTACATTGGTAGTCGTCATAGTGGCAGTGGATGAAAGAGAAAAATAAAGGCGAGATACCTGATGCATGTGAATAATAGTCTAGTAGTTCGGTGTCACGAAGAGGGCTTCATCATTGTGATCACGTCACAACGGACCCAAAGTAGCGAGGCTAAGACATGGTCACGCACGGCTCCCAAAGACAGAAGGCAGAAAGGAAGGAGCTTCACTCCCTAACTATAGCATCCAGCACTTTTATTTGCATATAACGCTGAAAACAGCGGCTCTGTAAAGATAAGGATCGCTTGGGTTTACAATGCACAAATCAGGGGGAGGAATACACTCTGGGCCGTAACTTAAAAGCTGAAGTCAAATAATTTTTACGAAACCAGGCCAAGCCTCCTGAGAGCCAAAACTGTAATTCATGCTTTGATTGACTCTACATTCCACTGCACTCTACCTCTGTTCATGACAATCTTGAATAATTTTGAATTCCTCTTTTGTAAGTAAAATATAACCTTTAGAACAATTCGACAGATCATATGTCCCTGAGAGATTTGTTACCAACATTTTTAATACTCATAACATCTTAATCAATTTTCGACTTTTCTCTTTGAATAGGATTACACTAATAGATGAAAACTTTCTTTCATCATTCTAAATTCAAGCCTAATTCTGACTGCTAAAGCTATCATCTGTAGGAGATTCATGCCAGTAAGTCATTATATTGCTAAAGCTGTCATCTGCAGGAGATTCATGCCAGTAAGTCATTATAACAAACACTATTTTTATATAAGGTATAAGACAGGATTACAGTTATAAGGACTGGTTTACATTCTTAACACCAAAAAATATGTAGTAGACGACAAAAATATTCGATGACCATGCCTGTCCCACGATACTACAAACAGGTTTTTACTATGTTACTGATTTCAAATTAAAATAATGTGTCGGCTATGTTACATCTTATAGAAAGACTTTCAGCATTGTCCATACAGATCCCCTGGAAGGCGTGCATTATGTGAGCAGATAAATATAGGCCCAGTCCCTGAAGATAAGACACAAATACGATGCGCAACGGCCTACAGCAGGGTCCAGCATTTCGCATGCGACACGCAACCTACTCTTCTATCCAGCACGGGTATGAGGATTGTTCTATGTACAGGATGACTCTTCACAACCTAAAACCCAACTATCAAGGCCATTTTCAAAGTTGACCGTTCGATTACCGGCAGGACAGCATTCTGCTTTGCCAAGCATCATCTCCAAAGTGTACCAGGGTTCTCCTCGAGGGTAGGGCGAGCTGCTGGGCATGAAACCGATCATTCACCCCCTTCCCAACTAGTGCAGAGGCTAAGAATGCGTGGAGCTATACTTCCAACTCCTCATACTTCTGGATAACGTGGTATTTTGTTAAGAACTTTACCTTGTTTCTGCATATGATGGGTGTATAATTTACTCCCGAGTGAAAGAGTGGTGGATTCTTTGATTGATTGGATCAATTGGGGATTCAAAAGGTTTTTCGTATTTGTACTCAGTTATTCAATGAAATATCAAAATATGGCATTTGAAAGGCCATTACTTGTTCCTCACACATACAAATTTACCACTAATTTTGTTAATTGACAAAGAGAGTAATATTAAAAATTATCACAGTTGAAAACATACAAAAATCTCCGTATAATGTGCTGGAATCGAACCGCGACCTAGATAACAAACCCGTCTGCAGTGTTAAGTATCATAAGAAAACCATTCATCTAACATCTAGGATAAGAGTCGATATTTTATCGACATAAGGAATCGATATTGATATAGCCTACTAGGCAGCTGTAGTATTTCAGTCAGGCCATCGGGGTGCAAACGTTTCGTGCGGTGGCGCCACCCTGTAGTGACCGTCTAGGCGTCAGGGTCTCTCCATTATAAGATCCAGTCGGTCGGGCATACATCAGAAAAGGGAGTCATCATTTACAGCACCGCGCGCCGGCCCTCTGTGGCTATCACTCTTTGCCGAACGCGACACGCAACTTTTCTCTTGGAGGAAAAGCTTCACATAAACTAGAAGCTCCGTCGCGTGGAGACCAGCAGCGGGAAACAAAAATAATAAGAAGCAGAGAAAATGAATAAGGTAAAAAACTGCTTTCCGTTGTGGGCTGAGAAAGAATAATATTCTAATCTACCCGCAAATATTTCATCTCCAATCACATTAATACTTTGCCTAGGTGGTAATTACCACTAAAAATCTGAAGCTTTGAGATGCCAAAACTGCAAATATCAGCTCCTTAGTTGTGAATTATTTTTTTTTAGTCGAACATTTTGAAAAGTTACATAAAAGTAATTCTTGTGTTACGTAACATGTCCAAAAGTAATTTTAGCGCAACAACCACTTCAGTCCTGAGCCTACTGTGGTACTTATAAACAGATTATTATGTCACAGATATTCTACAAACAAGTTTATTAAGCAGCGCTGAAAATGGAAGCACTATAATCCTCCGAAACGCTGGTATCTCCCTATGAGTCTACGCAGCGTTAAAACCCAAAAGACCAACATCGACTTTTTCTTCAACAAAAACATTTTAAGTTTCTTTATATTACGCCTCCTCTAATTTCATTGAGGCATTCAACTTCTGGACTGAAGGACCCTAAATTTAATGACAAAATTACTGCTTTTACTTTTTGTCTGCAGGGGGTACTTTATAATATAAATATGTACGTCAGTCTAGTCAAAGTTTTGTCACTATCCATCTATTTCCCCTTTACACGAACATTCCATAAATCGGAGAACAGGATTGCTCTTCTTGTCATCAAAAGGCAAAAGGTCACTGTGTTTGCTTTTGACCTTAAGCTTGCTGCAACATAAGAATGCCTTCCCAAGCCTTTACCACATGGGGAGGACAGCTGTGTAGAGATGACGCTCTCCAGGTGGTAGGCTTGTGGGCAGCGCGCGCGTACGGCTCGTGCTCAGATGTCGCTTTGTTGTCTGAGACGAAAAGGGTCTCTCTGACGATCACCCCACCCCAGTCCACAAACAGTCGCCGACCTGTCCTCACCACCATTAAACAAAAGAACCAATATGTTTGTCGGAGTGTAGCTTATAAATTTCTTATGAATCCATTTCTATCCTGAAAATATAAATCTACCTATCCGAGAGTAATTTTCTTTCACCGCAGGGAAGATTTCCCAGCTTACCTCTGCGTGTCGCCCAAGTGGGAGGAGGATTTCTAAATGCGGCCAAAGCAAACATAAGGCAACACATTTCTCCAGATGTACGATACAGAACTAGTACAGGTGGACCGTCCATCATTTGTGTATTATTATAAAATGCCCGCCGTCTGTCGAACAATATCAAAAAAAGAAAAAAATTACCATACGCTCTGTATAAAGAAAGAACAACTCCTGGAATTTTAATTTTTATTACACCGCTCCCTGCTTCTTACATTTCTCGTGCATAAAGCAGTCTGAGAGGATAAACATTTATTGTCCTCTGGAAGACTCATTCGACTTCTTTAACTTTTACAAATTCTAATATGTGCAAGTTATTACCCAATTTTATTAAATTAAACGAACTATTTGTGTTTATATTTAAAATGAAAGACACTGTTTAAACAATATATTCTCAACTATAATCAACAAATCTTATTTTTGAAGATCTAAAAAAATTGTAAACTACGGTGGACATACAAAAATACTGACTGTGTCGGCGTCTAAAATCCACCAGTCTTCGTATCCAGAGGTATCTGGTTCGAATCCCATCAACAGACTATAATACTGAGATTTATATTAACTTATGAGGAAGTTACTGGCTGTAGACGAAGCTTAATGTGAGGTACTGATATTAAAGTTTTTAAACTTTCTAATTACACTTTTAAAATAGGTTATATAGATAGTTAAT